GTTTAGATCTTGAAGCCTGAACTGTTTCGATTGCTAGGGCTGAAGCGCCTTGTTTAGGTAATTTTTAGGGTCGCAACCCATTTTGACCGTGTGCCGTGCTAGTGTCGTAGGCTTGGGCTACAACCAATTGTTTCTAAGTGTGTAGATCGTTATTAGGGCGACAGAGCGATGGTACGAAGTTGTGTACCAGTTGCTTCCTCAGTGCGTGACACGGTTCCGCTATTGCTGCTTTCTCCAGTCTTTTCCTTTCCCTGTGTCTCTTTCCCTCCTAGTCCTTCCCTTTCCCATAATGTTTCATCACTCTCCAGCTATCCTTGGTGCTATTCTTATCCCCTTCAGCCCCTTCACAAGAAGATAAGGATGGCAATGTGGAATGCCGGAAAGATTGGTGAAGGAGAAGAAGAAAGGTTGAGGGGGGGGGAGGGGATGGGGAGGGGAGTGGGAGGGGAGTGGGAGGGGAGTGGGACGAGGGATGGGTGAAGAAGGGGGGGGGTGTGGGGGGGGGGGGGGACATGGGGTTGAGGCGTGTGCTATTTTTGTTTGTTGATATGTTTTGCTAGTTGTTTTAGCATTTGGTTATGCCTCGGCTTTATCTCTTCGTGTGCATTGGATCTGTGTTCACGTATGGCATGCATGCGTGACATTGTTCGATTTGTATTTGCATGTACCATGTGTTGTGTTGTCTATGCATGCATTCTTGTCGGTGTTGTAATGTCATGTCATGTGTTGTGTTTGCCTTAGCTTAAGAGTGTGGTGCCAATATGACATGTGCTTGCGGTGGAGATTGTCATCGTCGCTGGGAAGCATTGCTGTCAGAGCTTACCCCATCATGTGCACGAAATGTGAATGTAACGCATGCGAATGTGGGATAAATAATTGGCATTCTACACCCAGCCGTGTAAAAAATGGCACGCATAACACGCCAAGCAAAATGCAGTACTTGGTTCATTTGCATATCCGTTACACGCTATAATCAGGGTTCAATCTGCAAATGATGCGGTCAACGTATAACAACATTAAAAATTCATCACATATGCAGCATGACATCCAAGCACCATAACATAAATTTCAACCGCCACTAGAATCTAGCAACCTACCCCACAACATGGAACGTAAGCTGGAAAGCCTGCAGCCCTGCACCCATTTACGCACGTCGATTTGTCAAGGTTAGCAGGTCGCATGTCTGAATCGACAATTAGCAAAAGCTTTCAACAGAAGAAAACAAAAATCTGAAACGCATTTACGGCACTATGTCACAGCCGAGCCCTTGGAAAGAGATGTGGACCTGCACTGTTAATAACCCTTGGAAAGGGTGACACCCGCGAGAGGACTTTGTGGGAAGAAACTTAACGTCCGTTAAAAGATGGTGGTCGTTCCTTTGCTGCACATGTCAGTGTTAGCGTTAGGACAAGCACAGAATCACGTTACTCATAACATGTTACGATTACTCATAATAAGATGCTCACAATAATCACGATACTCACGATAATCGCGGATCGTGGCTTGGCCGACTAGCGGCCCACGGCGTTGCTGAAGCGAGTGTCCATTGTTGGCTAGCGCTGACCTGCGACATAGGTACACGCAATACGCAAAGGGGAAGGCAGGGCAGTGAGTCAGATGGGAGGCAGCGAGGGACGGACGGGCGGAAGTAAAACAAGGTGGGGGGACTTGGGAGGGCAGAAATTGCCAGCAGAAATCAAACGACTAGCATCACGAAGTCAAGGTGCGTAATGAGGATGAAGGCAAGGGGTACTTAGTTGAGGTTCAAGTATTGCGACAACTGCAATTCCGGAGACGGAAAGGGGACTCTGTCAGTTCTATCAAGAGCAACGCTGAGTTGTTTAGCGAGTGCACATGGCGAGCGGTGGTTGGATTGCAAAACATACAGCACGGAAAACGTACCTTCACATCAAGGTGCGACAGCTGCGCGATATGTGCTAAGCGGGGATGGTTGGCTGACGAGTTGTTACGTCGAAGCCTGACACTCCCAGCGACGGAAAACTTATCCGAAGCTAAAACTTGTGCCTGCCGTGTCACTAGAAAGTGGCTTAGGTGGACGCGTCAGCACTGACCTACCGCTTCGATTCAAAACGAGTTTCCGGGAACCTTAAAATGAGTCCAAGTAATTGGACAATTGGTTATACAAGTCAGGTATAGCCCTAGACTAGACGTGCGCTTAAATGGTGTCATGTTTGAATGTATATTATCACCAAAAGCCCGGTCATTGTAGAACGTTAAAATTGATCAAATAGTTAAGTTTTCAATTTGATGCAGGCAATGTGGAGCAAAATAGCCATAGCGAGTATTTTAATTGCTCACATACTAGGTTTAAGTAATCATTGGTGACATACATAGATGCTGCAAAGCTACAAGAATGTGTTTGATGCGCTGACTCCAGTACCGAAAGCCCTTGCCCTAGAAACTCCTCGCCAATCAGCGGCGAGAATCTCCTAGCGAATCACGGACGAGCTCGGTGTTTCCGCCAATCATTAGTTTCCACCGTCATCAGTATCTGGTTGGCTGCGAATTCTGGCGAGCTGGATTTCCCCGCTTCACAAATTTTCGCCCCAACTCAGCCAATCAGCCCGCGCACGTACTGTCCCTGGGGAAACCCTGCGAGGACGTGTTCACGTTGGCGGTGACCTGGAGGGAGGGTTGAGCGTGAGTGTTGGGCGAAGGTGTGAGGTAACCAACAATGGTGGGGAACTTTCGGGACCCCTCTTTTTTGGGACGTCTCCCCCCCCCGAAATTTGCAGCAGCCTCAGATTTGGGTTCTCCCCGAACTGTAGCCGAATCCTGCAGGAGCTTTGATTCGAGTGTGGCTCTGGGGAGGGGATGCCTGGCTCGCCGAACCAACACCTTACAGCATCACACCAAAAGCTCCTGCATTCTATAAGAACCGTTACAAACCCTTCTAAAGTCCGAGCCTCAGGCCTTGTAACACTCGCATCCCCACGTTTCTCCTTCTTCCTCCTCTTCCTCCTCTTTCTTGGAAGGATGGTTTTTTCTCCTGCGTATACACTCAGCCCGCGGTATATTTACACCCAGTATTTTCACAGGGGGTGCCACCGAGAGGGTATTCCCCCCCAGAAAGGAGCTCCTGAAGACCAGATCTGGATACCCTTGATTCAGGAAATGCTTACTGCTCAATTTAGTTTTCTCGAGTCAAGAAACCTGACATCAGCTTAGGCAGCGCTCAAAGTTTTTGCCCGCGTGGAGCCTGCTAAGCTTAGGCTGTGGGAACAATTGGGTACTGTCTATGCACTCATAAATGGTCAAGGTGGAAACAAAAAATCTTCTGCCGCCTAGTTTCAAGGTGTAAAATTACCGCGAGCTAGGTGTACTCCTCACCCTTCCACTGGTGGTTGCCATGCCAGCTGCAAACTTCATGTCAGATTAATTCTAGAAGACGGGGTCGGGTCAGTCAAGAGGGCTCAGGAGGAGTCAGGGACTCCGCGTCTTGTACTGTACTAGGGCGGGATGCATGCATCTCACCCGCTTTCGATGCAGAAGCGCATAATAGAAAAAAAAAATCAATTACTTGTCTTATTATATTAGTGCAAGCTCCGCGAATGTTGGATTCTGCATTTAGCGCATACCCCCATGCGACCCAGGAAAAAATGTTTAAAATGCTTCCCAGGTTGTAAGAGCTTCGCCGCTTCTAATCTGTAGAGGGGCGGGGAGCCTGTCTTATGCACCGACTATGTCCACGTAGGTATGTAGCACGGTTTTCGCTGTGAGTTTCAAAGCTCGTTTTCATCAATGCACGCTATTTGGGTCATCGCATCAACAATAACAGAATCACACAAAATACCCGATTACAGCATGAATCGATAACAAACAACGCAAGCATAACAACTACAACGTACGTCGCCCAAACATCCGCGCTACTCCCAAGCCTGCGAGTTGCACCAACAATTGCCCACACACAGTTGCACATAGGCGACGGATTACGTCTCATCTTCAGGACGGATTCCATCGTCGCACCTGGCGCTGTCGGATTCACTATTTTGCTGCACTAGGGTCAGTTTGTGATTAGGTGGATCATCACAAGATCGTTGGTTGGAGCCCTACGCATAGGTGCGATCGATGGCGTCGTCTACCTCTCCGCGGGTCATAAGATCATGAAATGGATATTTTTGGGCGTCATGCATCAATGACGCACGGACATGTATCCTCTCAGATTGGCTGGTTACATTAATCCCTGCGTATGCCGAGTTTGTTTGTAGGGAATAAATGCCCCCGTGAAATTCTTGCTCTAGTCGTCGTTCCACTAATAGCACATGATGTGTACACCGTCACGGTTTTCCCCCCCTTGGATGGATTTTTGTCGGGAGACTGTACTGTACTGTGCTGGATGCACTTCGAAGCGCTCCTGATGTTGAGAGCTACTGAATGCTGCGACCTCTTGCTATTCAAATCTGAGGGCAGTCCAAATAGTTCAATTGGGGTTTTCAGACATGTTTTTACGAACTAGGGCGCAAACAGCAAAAACTGAGAACGATTTAAAAAAAAGTGTGTTCCCTCCAAAAAGCGTCCCATATTGCGAACGAAAATAGAAAGTGGAGCACAGGGTGATCGGAAAACGTTCGCCTCAGATGCACCAAATTTCAGTTACCCAATGTCGCAGCCCGTGAAACAGATGTTTCGTGCTGTGTTGGGTGGAAGGTCCTATTTTGGCTTTGCGCCACGCGAGTTGTTCGCGAGGTCGCCATGCTCTCGCCAAGCCATGCTTGGCGAAACTCCAAAGCGCCACACGTGTCCATCCTCCCCCAAACGCACACACACCTTTACCCGACTCGTAAACGAATCTTGATTAGGGTGTATTCACATGTGTCGAGTGTCCCGAGTTACGGCGCAGTCGCGCACCTGTCCTCGCGAAATCACGGCGACGTTAAAATTGGGTTACTTTTCACGAAATAAATATGGTTTGAACTATTTGGACCTGCCCTGAACTAGCTACAAATCCCCTCCGATCTCCCCTCCTCCATTCTGGAATCCAGGGACCTCGATGCTTGCTTTCCATGTCGGAATGGAAACGTTCGAAGAGGCCAGTCGGTCTCGAGCGTCCCTTGTCCACGGCAAAAGCGGTTGCAATTGCGATTGCGACATGATCGCTGACCCAGAAAAAGTCGACTGCGTCGCCGCGGAATGGCTTCGCATCCACGCGGATCGTCACGTCGAGATCCAGCAGCTCCGAGTAATTTCAGGCTGTTCGATTTCAAGGCCGCCTGGATGGGATCCTTGAGAAATCGAGCAAATACTACCTTCGATGGAAACCGCCATGGATATCCCTTTGGTAGAAGCGGCATCTCTCTAGTTTCGGAGTCTGGAGTTTCCACGTCGGTTTCGGTCGCCTCTTCGCTTTCCAGATTAGCGGTCTCTCGCACCTCGGGCTCCTCCGCCGCGTTTCTCGGTGCCAGCTTCGGCAGCAGCGCCACTGATGATGCTTCGGCCGATCCGATTGACCCTCCGTGCAGGCAGCAGCAGCAGCGGCAGCAGCAGCAGCAGCAGCAGCAGCAGCACCACCACCACCACCACCACTCCCGTCGCCGATCTCTCACGATCTTGCATCTCGACGACTCAGGGTCGAAATCGGACGGCCATTCGTTAAACTCTACATCACGAAGCGCTTCTTTCTCTCTACGGTCGAATCGCAGGTCCTTCACCGTCTCCTCGCAACCCCCGCATCATCCGCCGATTCTTGAGAAGTCCTTCGAATCCTTGGATTCCCCGCATCTTCCGCCGCCGAACGCGCATGAGAAGATGAAGGCTAGGCGGAGTTTCAGTTACGGGTCGCAGGAGCGGAGAAGCAGAAGCAGCCTGGACGACTCGGAAGCGCACGTTCAGGAGGCTCATTCTGGGGGGAGATGCTCTTGCGGGATGAGAACCCTAGAGTTCGGGCCCGACTCGGAACATCTGTGCTCTCAGCCCAGCCTCGAGCGCGGCAGCAGCGCCAGTTCCGCCGCCACTCCCGCTTCCCCCTCCTTCTTCTCCCCCGCCGACGCCAAGAGGCGCCTCTCCGCGCAGTTCGGCGCAGGCATGTGGGGGGAGGGCGGGAGTTACGGGCAGCTTGGCGCCAGCGTGTGGGGGGGAGGCGGGGCTTACTCCGCGCTGGATCCGTCCCCTGGGCGGAACTGGGTGGGCGACGCAGCAGCGGGCGCTGGGGTCTCCGGGCGGCGCTCCTCCATCTCCTCGTATTTCCAGACGCTCTTTCGGGTCGGCGAAGGTGGCGAAATTGGCGAAGCTGAAAGCGATTTCGCGGAGGCGGGCAACTACTGCTGCGAAACCGGCTTCTCTGACACTCCGTACCCGGCCGCCGCAGCGCGTCGTTCTACCTCCTCCTCGTCTTGCCATGTCGCGTCCTCCTTCCGCCGAAGCCCCTCCTTCTTCTCCCCCTCGCGCCCCCACCTTCCCCCCTTCCCCCTCTCCGCCTATCCCCCCAGCACCCTCTTCCGCTTCTCCCGCAACACGCGCCTCTCTGAATCCGCCGCCTGCCTCCCTGCCGCCTCTCCCGCTGCTTTTCCCCCCGCTTCGCCTTCCGCTTCTCCCTCCGCCTCTCCCCACACCCATCTCGCCGCTTCTGCGTCCCGCGCAGCGCCGGTAGACCCATGGCAAGCCGCGAGGCTGTCTGGGCGGCCAGACACCGTGACGCCGGGAAGAGGGCCTGCTTACTCCGGCAGGATGGATCCTCCTGGGGATTCTCCTGGGGATTCTTCTGGGGATCGTCCCGGGGATTCTCCACAGGTGATTTCTCCTTGGGTGGTTCTCCCTGCTCCTGCCACAGGCGCAGCCACAGCGCCTGTGCTTCCGTGGGGGCGAGGGAGACGGGGAGACGAGGAGGCAGGGAGTGAGGGGCTGATAACATGGGCGGCGAGGCCAGGGGACAAGGTCTCAGGGAGTGCGGACTCAGGTGTGCAATCAGGTGTATGTTCAGGAGCTGCCGCAGCAACAGATGAAACGTCAGGGAACAGCAGTCTAGAGGTGTCATTCGGAAACATGTCCCTGGATTCAGGTCAATCGGTATCCTCAGAATGCTCGGTTGCTGCTGCGTGCAAAGCTGGGTCAGAATACCCTGCTGCTGCCAGGGGGCAAGCACGGGCAGCATTGCAACCCACGTGGCAAGCAGCGGTGGCAGCGCACACCTCGTCGCCTGATAGGGAAAATAGCTGCTTGAATGTTCAAGAGTCCACCTCTTGTTCTTTGGCTGCTGGCCGCAGCCGCTCAGCAAATCTCCACAACAACACCGCGCTCTGGGAGGCGAACTGCAAGGCTCAGACTGACCCTGCCAGGGCTGCTTTTTTCCCCCGCCAACTTTCTAGAAGGCTTCACAGGCTGCTGGGATGCTGGGCTGGCACACAGGGTGGGAGAGAGCGTAGCAGAGAGGGCGGCCGCGAGGGCAGTGCAGAAGGCATCCAAACAGGAAGCAGAGAGAGCCGGAGGTGGTGTGTGAGCTGGAGGGATGGTGGAGGGGATGGTGGAGGGGATGGCGGAGGGGATGGCGTGGCACAGAATGCGTGCTTTGGGTACCCATTCAGTGGAGTTAGAGTGGGAGAAGAGAGGGAAGGGTTCTGTCGGGATATCTGGCCAGGGGGGAAAGTGGGCTGTGGGAATGACAATATGGGTGGTAAGACCGATTTTGACGGTGATTGTGGAGAAGTGTATGTTGCAAGGAGGAAGGGTAGTTTGAGCAAGTGGTGGTGAGAACAAGTCGTGTTGGTGACTTCAGGTTTGCTTCCTATCTGTTGGAAATATCTCAAAGGACTTAAGCGTTTCTGAAGTATAACACTACACTCGAGGAAGATCGCAACGGGTACGCGAGTCTACGGAGGTTACACGAAGGGGCGGACAAAGAACGCGAAGGGACTCGGAGGTTACACTATCCCTTTCTGTAAGGAATTTTATTCCTTACCGGGTTGTACTGCAATCGCGTACACCCGAACTCTCGGAACACCAGGCTCGGTCAGTTTCCAACGCGACCCCGAGGCACGCCCGCACCGCCTCCGAACCTTTCGACCGCGCCTGTACCCAACCTAGCCTTCCGGGCTCGTCGCCTAGCTAGAGCTCTCGCTATATAATGCTAGGCTCCCATTCTTGTACTCGTCATTATTATTCGGCGCACTCTCAGTTATTATTCATAACATCTGGTATCAGAGCTACTTTTCTGGTTCACCCCGCTTTCTCAGGGTAGTTTATTTCCAAGGCGTGGTTAACCCTGCGGGGCTGCAAAGCGGTTGTCCGTGAGCTAGAGTTATTAGCTCACACTGTCAACTTATACATATTATCTATGTAGAAGTTATAGGCTAGACTGAGGTATGCTTCTAGTGAGTACAACCAACTAGTATTTGTTCTAGGTTTCCACCTCTAGTAATCATTCGTTTCTACGTTAACATGGTATCACGCTTAGGTTAGGATCCCCCCGCCTACCGCTTCCGCCCGTCGCGCCTCCTAGGCCCCGTCGCGCCCCCTAGGCCCCGTCGCGCCCCCCCTGGGCCCCGTCGCGCTCGTTAGGCCCCGTCGCGCCCCCCCTGGGCCCCGTCGTGCCCGCTGGGCCCCGTCGCGCCTCCTAGGCCCCGTCGCGCTCCCCCTGGGCCCCGTCGCGACCCCTAGGCCCTAACGCGCCCCCGCTGGGCCCCGTTGCGCCTCCCAGGCCCCGTCGCGCCCCCCATGGGCCCCGTCGAGCCCGCTGAGCCCCGTCGTGCCTCCTAGGCATCGTCGCGCCTCCTAAGCCCTGTCGCGTCCCCCCCCTCTGGGCCCCGTCGCGCCCGTTCGGCCCCGTCGCGCCCCTCCTAGGCCCCGTCGCGCCCGCTGGGCCCCTTCGCGCTTCCTAGGCCCCGTCGCGCCTGCTAGGCCCCGTCGTGCCTCCCCTGGGCCCCGTCGCGCCCGTTAGGCCCCGTCGCGGCCCCCCTGGGCCCCGTCGTGCCCGCTGGTCCCCGTCGCGCCTCCTCGGCCCCGTCGCGCCCCCCCTGGGCCCCGTCGTGCCCGCTGGGCCCCGTCGCGCCCCTTAGGCCCCGTCGCGCCCGCTGGCCCCTGTCGCGCCTGCTGTTAGCGCTCGCCCGCCTGGCCTCCTCCTAGTGCCGCTCGGCCTCCTCCTAGTGCCGCCCGGCCTCCTCCTAGTGCCGCCCGGCCTCCTCCTAGTGCCGCCCGGCCCCTTCCTAGCGCTGCCCGGCCCCTCCTCGTGCCCGACCGGCCCCAGCAGCACCAGCCTGGCCCCTCCCAGCACCAGCCCGGCCCTAGAGCACCTGCCCGCCTCCCCTGCTCGGCCTGCCGTGTCCTCTCGGGCCCTGTGTCTTCTGCTTGCCTGCGCTGGGACGCCTAGCTGCTGCCCTACTGGAGAGTGCTGCCGCCGTGTCCCCGCGCCGCTGTGCTCCTGTGCCGCTGAGGAGCTGTGCTGCTGTGCCGCTGTGTCGCTGAGGAGCTGTGCCGCTGACCCTGCACGATGGCTGACTTTGTGCTCCGCCTGGACGCTGAGGGCCACGCGGTTGACTTCGCCGCCTGGCTCTCCGATCTTCGCCGCCAGCTTACAGGTCAGCGCCAGGATGGCCACTCTCTGGTTGTCCATGCTGATGGCTTGCTCCCCCGTCCCCCTGCACCTACTCCCCTCCCTGCTGACCCCTCCTCTGATGACCGTGAGGCTTTCTCTACTGCTGCGCTAGCCTGTGCGGTCTGGGACTCACGCGATGCAGTAGCTCAGGTTGCTATTAGTCACGCCCTCCCTGTGTCTGAGCGCTCGCGTTTTGCTACTGTTGAAACGGCCAAAGCTTATTTAGACGCCGTTATTGCTCGCTATTCCACCCCTGCCTCCGCTTCTGCTGGCCGCTTGCTCTTTCCGATGCTGTTCCCAGACCTGGCTGCCTTCCCTACTGTCGCAGATTTTGCCACTCATTTGCGTGCCCTAGAGACTCGCTATCGCACTGCCAGCACTGCTGCCCAGCTCACTGCGCTCCCCCCTCCTTTCTGCATGACGCTCTATTTTATCGCTATGCGCCTGCCAGACCGCCTCGCTAGTGCTCGCGACCACTTTCTTAGCCAGCACCCGGGTGACCTCACCCTGACCGCCTTTGTCGACACCCTCACTGAGATCGAGACTCGCCAGCGCACTATCGCTCAGTCGAGCGGTGCGCCGGCAGTCTCTATCTTTCACGGTTGTGCCCCATCCCCGTGCACGTTCACTGACGTTTTGGCTGCGGTCGCCACGGCGACCCCTCTTACCGAGACGGCTGCTGCTGTCCACCCGCAGCAGCGCTCGCGTCGCGGTGGCCGTGGCCGCCAGGGAGGTAGGGGTGGTGACGCAGGTGGTAGTGGTCGTGGTGGTGGTGACGGTAGTCCGCCTGAGGGGACTACCACCGGTGGGCAGGAGCAGCAGTCCCAGCAGCAGCAGGACCAGCCCCAGCCGCAGCCGCCGTCCCAGCAGCACCCGCCGCAGCCGTGGGCTCGTCTCCCGCCTGGTTGGCCCGGCACCTCCGGAGGCGGTGGCCGTGGTGGCGGCCCGCGCAGCTTGGCGTCTACCAGCGGCTCCAGTGCTGTGACCTGCCAGTACCAGCTTCAGGTTGGGCCTCTCCGCGGCACTCTGTGCCGCCGCCCGCACCCGACCGCCCACTGTTTCCGCCGCCTCGACGATCTTTTTCGTCGTCGCTTTGGCCCGGCCCCGGACCTCCCTGACTGGCACAGCCTGCTCCGCCAGGGCGTGCCGATCTTTGAGTTAGACATGGATCAGATAGGTGCTGCTTTGCATGCTTTGTATGCTGACGCTTCTAGTGTTGATGGATCTTACTACCATGTGTACTCTAGTTTAGGTGTTTCACCCTTGTGTAGCTTAGCTTCCCCTGCTGCGACAGGCGTAGGACTGCCTAGGTTGCCTAGTCTAGTCGCTGCACCGGCTCCGTCCGCGGCCTCCGCCACTGCGTCGCTGTCCTTCACTCTCGACTCTGGTGCTTCTGCCTGCTTCTTCCGCGACCGTTCCACGCTCACGCCGCTTGCTGCACCTGCTGTTGTCTCTCTCGCTGACCCCTCTGCGGGTCCGGTCGTCGCGCGCAGTTCTACGTCCCTTCCCTGTCCGGCAGTTCCCTCGGGCTCCCTTACTGGCCTCCACGTTCCCTCGTTCTCCAGGAACCTGGTTGGTGTCGGCTGTCTCCAGGACCTCGGCGTCACCACCACGTTCCCCGGGCACGAGCGGTTCGCTGTCTGTTCTGAGGCTGTCTCAGGTTCCCCCCTTGCGACGTTCCCCCGGGACCCGGTGTCCGGTCTGTTTACCCTACACACCGCTTCCCCCCCGGTTGGTGCGTCCTCCCAGGTCGCTGCAGCTTGCTCGTGTCGGTCCCTCACTCACCCCTCCCTTCTCTGGCACCACCGCTTAGGTCACCCTGCTCTCCCGCGTCTGCGTCACATGTCCCAGCACGGTCTTGTCTTAGGTCTCCCCGCGTCGCTCCCTGCCCTTCCTCCCTCGACTGCGCCACCGTGCACGCCTTGCGTCGAGGGTCGGCTCCGCCGTGCTCCTCACTCCTCCTCGCTGCGTCCTGCTACTGCCCCCCTTCAGACCCTGCACTTGGACGTTTGGGGCCCTGCCCCCGTCCCCGGACCGCGCGGTGAGCGCTACTTCCTTGTGCTCGTTGACGACTACACGCGCTACACCACGGTGTTTCCCCTGGAGCGGAAGGCCGACGTGCCCGACGTTCTTCTCCCGTGGGTTGTAGCTGCGCGTCTCCACCGCGGTCTCCCCGTGTTGTGTCTCCACTCCGACCGTGGCGGCGAGTTCGCCTCTGGTCGGCTTGGACAGTTCTGTCGTGCGGAGGGCATCACCCAGTCGTACACCTTGCCGGACTCGCCACAGCAGAATGGGGTTGCTGAGCGCCGCATCGGCTTGGTCATGGAGGTCGCCCGTACCTCCATGATCCATGCCGATGCCCCCCATTTTCTGTGGCCGTTCGCTGTTCGCTACGCGGCTCACCAGCTTAACCTGTGGCCACGCTCCCAGCGGCCGCAGGTTTCGCCGACCCTCCTTTGGACCGGGTCCCCCGGTGACGCGTCTGCGTTCCACGTCTGGGGCTGCCTTGCTCACGTTCGTGCCTCTGGCACGGACAAGCTCACTGCCCGCACTGTCCCCTGTGTCTTCCTCGGTTTCCCCCTGGACTCGTCTGACTGGCTTTTCTACCACCCGCCGTCTCACCGCTTCCTCCACTCTCGTGACGTCACCTTTGACGAGTCCGTCTCCTTCTACCGCCGCTTCCCTCACCGAGGTCTCCCAGTTGCCCCCCCCCTTTTCCTTGCTCCCTCTCCCCCGGTAGCCCCTGCCCCTCTCCCGCCTCGTCCTGCCCCGTCTGGTGTCTCCCACGTCACTCCCCTCCCGTCGGTTGTCCCCGTTGAGGAGTCTGCTGACTCTGGTGGTACCCCCGGTCCGTCCTTGCCGCGTCCCCCTTCCCCAGTGCCTCCGCCCCCACTGTCGCAGTCGCCGACCCCGCTGCCGCCGCCGTCGCCGTCGCCGCCGCAGCCGTCGCCGCTGTCGCCGCCACTGCCGCCGCTGCTCTCGGCCCCTGGGGGTGCTGGTGTGGAGGAGGGTGTTCGTCCTGCGGCTTCTGGGGGTGCCGCTGGTGTTGGAGGGGGTTCTCGCTCTTGGGGTGTTGGTTCTGGGGGTGCTGCTGTTGAGTGTTCTGCCGACGGTCGTTCTGCCTCTGCTGGTCCGAGAGTTCCGGCCCAGCCGTCGTCGCCGCCACAGCAGCCGTCGCCGCCGGTTTCCGCTCTCCGCCTGCTCGGCCTTCCCTCCCCGGACCGCGCGCCGGTGTCTCCCCCACCGCCTCCTGACCTCCCTGTCTACGGTCCTGTGTTCCCGCCGCCAGACTCGTCTCCGGCCCGTCTTCCTCCTCGTTCCCCTCCTGTGTCTCCTCCGCTGTCCCCTGACCCTACCCCTCCGTCTCACGTTTGGGCTCGCCGTCCCTCCCGTGCTCGTCCCGTCTCTCCTGTCCTGCCCACCCACCCTATGTTGCTCCGTTCCCACTCGTCTCGTCCTCCCCTCCTCCCGTCCCCTCCTCCCTCGTCCCTTGCTGTTGCACCTCCTCCGTTCTCTGACTACCTCCGTGCTGCTCGTCCCCTTGTCCCTCGGGTCCTTGCCTCTCTTGTTACCGACCCTGCTGTTCCTGTC